ACACCAATACCAATGCCATACATGTACATGGTTGGGGCGGAATTTCAACCGCTGGGCGAACACTAGTATTTTAAATTTTACGACGTGCTTGGCCGTAATTCTCTTCGAGTTTGTAGTATGCGTCTTGATGTTTTTACACAAATGGAGTGATCACCAGTATTTCGCGGCCTTCTAACGGCAAATCTATATATTATTCTAAATCTTCTTCTTTTCTTTCTTCTTTATTGGCGCTGTAACCGCCTAGCGATCAGCACGCCAGTCATTTCTCTTCTGTGCTAACTGACGCCAATTGGAAATGCCAAGTGAAGCCAAGACCTTCTCCACCTGGTCTTTCCAACGCAGAGGAGGCCTTCCTCTTCCTCTGTTACCAGCATCGCGGCCCGCGTAAAATATTTTCAGAGCAGGAGCGTTTTTGTCCATTCGAACGACATGGCCAAGCCAGCGGAGCCGCTGAATTTTAATTCGCTGCACTATGTCTATATCGTTGTAAAGCTCATACAGCTCATCTTTAAATCGTCTGCGATATTCGCCATCACCAACGCGTGAAGATCCGTACATCCTTCCCAGAATCTTTGTCTCGAAAACTCCTAGAGCCGCCTCATCAGATGCTTTTATGTCCATGCCTCGGCGCCATACACCAGCACAGACATGATGAGTGACTTATAGAGTGTGATCTTTGTACGACGAGAGAGGACTTTATTTCTTATTTGCCTACTCAGCCCAAAGTAGCACTTGTTGGCAAAAGTGATTCGCCGTTGGATTTCAAGGCTCAGACGCGTATGCTCTGACTGTTTGTGTGATGACAGGAGATACTTCGTTTTGTCCTTGTTCACCACCAGACCCATTCGCTTTGCTTCTCTATCCATTCCCGTGAAGGCAGAACAGACGTAGCCCTTGTTTTTACCGATGATATCGATGTCGTCGGCATACGCCAGCAATTGTACGCTCTTATAAAGTATTGTGCCTGAGCGGTTCAGTTCTGCGGCTCTTATTATCTTCTCCAACATAAGATTAAAGAAATCACACGAAAGGGAGTCCCCTTGTCTGAAACCTCGTTTGGTATCAAACGGCTCGGAGAGGTCCTTCCCTATTCTGACGGAGCTGGTGGTATTGCTCAACGTCATTTTACACAGCCGTATTAGTTTCGCGGGGATACCAAATTCAGACATCGCGGCATAAAGGCAACTTCTCTTCGTGCTGTCGAAAGCGGCTTTGAAATCGACAAATAGATGGTGTGTGTCGATCCTATTCTCGCGGGTCTTTTCCAAGATTTGGCGTATTATGAATACCTGATCTATGGTGGATTTTCCAGACCTAAAGCCACACTGATAAGGTCCAATCACTTCGTTGACTGTGGGCTTCAGTCTTTCGCACAATAAACTCGATAAGACCTTATAACCTATGCTTAGAAGGCTGATTCCGCGGTAGTTGGCGCGTATGGCGGGGTCGCCTTTCTTGTGGATTGGGCAGAGCACACTTAAATTCCAGTCGTCGGGCATGCGTTCATCTGACCATATTCTGCATGCATTCACCTCATCAGCTCTCATCAGCTCCTCGCCGCCGTACTTGAATAGCTCGGCTGGCAGGCCGTCAGCTCCAGCAGCTTTGTTGTTTTTCAGCCGCGTAATCGCTATTCGTACGTCGTCATAGTAATTCGGTGGGACAGCTACTCCATCATCATCGACTGGGGACTCGGGTTCGTCTTCCTCACTACTTTCAGCGCTGCTACCATTCAGTAGGTTATAAAAGTGTTCCCTCCACAATTTAAGTATATTCTGGACATCGGTCACTAGGTCGCCATTGTTGTTCTTACAGGAGTTCGCCCCGGTCTTGAAACCTTCCGTAAGTCGCCTAACCCTCTGGTAGAATTTTCGGGCGTTCTTCCTGTCGGCCAGCATCTCAAGCTCTTCGCACTCACGTATTTCGGCCTCTCTCTTCTTATTGCGGCAAATACGTCTCGCTTCCTTCTTCAGTTCCCTATAACGGTCCCACATGGCTCGCGTTGCGCTCGATCGCAGCGTGGCCCTATAGAAGGCGTCTTTTTTCTCTGTGGCTTCTTGACATTCCTCATCGTACCAGTTCTTCTTTCGGACTCGCTGAAATCCAACTACTTCTTCGGCGGCGGTACTTAATGATCCGGAAATGTGGTTCCACTGCTTGCGTATGTCGAATTGTTGAAGAGTGCTCTCAGAGAGCAGGTGTGTGAGTCGAGTGGCGAATAAATTGGCCGTCTGTTGTGATTGCAGCTTTTCGACGTTAAGCTTTCCTTGCATTGTTGGGCGCACATTTTTTGCTGCACAGAGGCGGGTGCGTATCTTGGCTACAACAAGATAGTGGTCCGAGTCGATGTTTGGCCCTCGGAGTGTACGTACGTCCAAAACGCTTGAAGCATGCCTTCCGTCTATCACAACATGATCGATTTGGTTTCTCGTTTTTCGATCTGGAGACAGCCATGTAGCTTGGTGGATGTTCTTATGCTGGAACCTAGTACTACATATTACCATATTTCGGGCCCCGGCGAAGTCGATCAGCCTCAGTCCGTTATCGGACGTTTCGTCGTGGAGGCTGAATTTTCCGACAGTGGCGCCAAAGATCCCTTCCTTGCCCACCTTGGCATTAAAATCGCCAAGCACGATTTTGACATCGTGTCGGGGGCAGCGCTCATATGTACGTTCCAAGCGCTCATAGAAGAGATCCTTGGACGCCTCATCCTTCTCTTCCGTCGGGGCATGGGCGCAGATGAGCGAGATGTTGAAGAATCTAGCTTTGATGCGGATTGTGGCTAGACGTTCGTCCACCGGGGTGAACGCCAGTACTCGGCGACGGAGTCTCCCTCCTACCACGAATCCAACACCGGATTTGCGATCCTTTACATGGCAAGTGTAGTAGACGTCGCAAAGCTTCACGCTTACTTTACCTTGCCCCGTCCATCGCATTTCTTGGATGGCGGTGATGTCAGCCTTTGTCTTCCCGAGGACATCAACCAGCCGGGCAGAGGCACCTTCCCCATTAAGGGTCCGGATATTCCAGGTGCATACCCTTAAATCATAGTCCTTTATACGTTTGCCGTGGTCGTCATCAGAAAAAGGGGGTCTCATCCGAGGCTGTTTGGTTCTTTTCATTGGGCGGGGTTTTAACGTGGCGGGACCCAAACCCAGCGCACGCGAAGTTTTACGCCTTCTCACTTTAGCTCGCTCCCAAACGGGTGTTTGGTTGCTACCCAGAGGATACGTGGATATAAATATCCGGACATTGTGAGCTGCGATTTGAACCGTACGTACAAGAATCGCTTCTGGCCACTCCCAGGTGAATGGCAGTCAAAAGTTTTCCACTTCTGCGCACGGAACCGTCCTCCCAGTATTCTAAAACTAGCGATCTACAATCGTACAGTGACAAATAATACATCAAATTAAAGTGCTCGATCTGAAACTTTTCAGATTTAAGATTTATTGAACCGCTTCCGAAATATTTGCGTCCAAATATTTTAAAATCTTAACATTGGGCAAAGCATTGCTAAGTTCATTTCGATAGGCAGCGTCTCAGCGGGCCAAAAGCG